CGACCTCAAACCCACAAGCCTCCCACCTCCCAAGTCCCACCCACGTCTCTCGTCACCACCAGCCTCCCTGCCCCATCAGCCTCCTTCACCCACCAGCCTCCCGTCACCCATTAGTTTCGCCACCCACCAGCCTTCCACCCATCAGCTTTCTGTCACCCACCAGCTCTCCGTTACCCACCAGCCTCCTGTCACCCATCAGCCTTCCGTCACCCATCAGCCTTCCGTCACCCAGCTGCCTCCTGTCACCCATTAGCCTTCCGTCACCCACCAGTCTTCCATTACCCACCAGCCTCAAATCACCCACCAACCAATCGTCACCCAAAGCCTCCTGTCACCCACCAGCCTCCGTCACCCACAAGCCTCCCATCTCCCACCAGCCTCCACCCACAAGCCTCCCATCACACCAGCCTCCCATCGCCCACAAGTCTCCCACACCCACAAGCCTCCCATCTCCCACCAGCCTCCCATCACCCAAAGCCTGCTCACCCACCAGCCTTCCATCACCCACAGCCTCCCATCATCCAAGCCTGTCACCCACGAGCCTCCCATCACCCACAAACCTCCTGTCACCAGCCAGATCCATCACCCATCAGCCTTCCTCTCACCCAACAGCATCTCGTCACCCACAAGCCTCCCATCACCCACGCCTCCCATCACCTCCAACACCCAGCTACCCATCCCACCCACCCAGCCTCCCATCACCCACTCCATCACCCCCAGCCTCCCCACACCCACACCCCACCCACACGCCTCCCACCCCCAAGCCTTCCACACCACCCACAAGCACCCCATCACCCACAAGCCTCCCATCACCCACGTTCCACACCCACACACCCCATCACCCACAAGCCTTCCATTACCCACAAGCACCCCATCACCCACCAGCCTCCCATCACCCACCAGCCTCCTCACCACCCATGCTCTCACCCATCAGCCTCCCATCACCCACAAGCCTCCCATCACCCAAGCCTCCCATCACCCACAAGCCCACACTCACCCAAGCTCCCATCACCCACAAGCTCCCATCACCCACAAGCCTTCCACACCCACAAGCCTCCCATCACCCACAAGCCTCCCATCACCCACCAGCCTCCCATCACCCACAAGCCTCCTCGTCAACCTAAACGTCCCATCACCCACATACTTCCCATCACCCACAAGCCTCCCATCAACAACAAGTCCTCACATCACCAACAAGCCTCCCATCACCCACAAGCTCCCATCATCCACCAGCCTCCATCACCCACCAGCCTCCCATCACCACCAGCCCTCCATCACACACCAGGTCTCGCTCACTCACCAGCCTCCCATCACCCACGAGAATCCCATCACCACAGCCTCTCCCATCACCCACAGCTCCCACCCACACACCCTCCCATCACCCAAGCCCTCACCCACAAGCATCTCATCATCCATGCCTCCCATCACCCACAAGCCCGAGCACCCAAAGCTCCATCACCTACCAGCCACCCATCACCCAAAAACCTCCCCACTCTCCAGCTCCACCCACCAGCCTCCACATCTACCAGCCTCCCATCACCCCACCACCCTCCATCACCCACCATCCTCCCACCCAACAGACCTCCCATCACCCACTAGCCCCATCACCCACCAGCCTCCCATCACCCACCAGCCTCCATCACCCACCAGCCTCCCATCACACACCAGCCTCCCATCACCAATAGTCTCCCATCACCCACAACCCTGCCACCCAAAGCCTCCCATCACCCACAAGCATCCCATCACCCACAAGCCTCCATCACCCCCAACCATCCCATCATCCACAAGCCTCCCATCACCCACAAGTCTTCCATCACCCACAAGCCTCCCATCATCCACAAGCCTCCCATCACCAACAAGCCTCCCATCACCCACAAGCATCCCATCACCCACAAACTCCCATCCCACAAGCCCCATCACCCACAAGACTCCCATCACCCAACAAGCATCCCATCCCCCACAAGCTCCCATCACCCACACCAGCCTCCCATCACCAACATGCCTCCCATCACCCACCATCTCCCATCAACCACAAGCCTCCCATCACCCACCAGCCTCCCATCACCCACCAGTCTCCCATCACCCACAATCCTCCCATCACCCACCAGCCTCCCCATCGAACACAGCTCCCATCACCCACCAGCCCCATCACCCACAGCCTCCCATCACCCAAGCCTCCCATCATCCACAAGCTTCCATCACCCACCAGCCTCCCATCATCCACAAACTTCCTGTCACCCACGAGCCCCATCACCCACACAAACCTCCCATCACCATGCTCCCCATCACCCACAAACCTCCCTTCACCTACAGGCCTCCCATCATCCAAGCCTCCCATCACCACACAAGCCTCCCATCACCCACCAGCCTCCCATCACCCACCAGCCCCCCATCACCCACCAGCCTCTCATCACCCACCAGCCTCCCATCACCCACCAGCCTCCCATCACCCACATAAACCTCTGTCACTTCACCAGCCTTCCACACCCACACCAGCCTCCCGTCACCCACAAGCCTCCCACACTCCACCAGCCTCAGATCACCCACCAGCCTCCCATCACCCACAGCCTCCCATCACCCACCAGCCTCCCATCACCCACAAGTCTCCATCACCCACAAGCCTCCCATAACCTACCAGCCTCCCCGTCACCCACAAACCTCCCATCTCCCACCAGCCTCCCATCACCCACCAGCCTCCCATCACGCACCAGCCTCTCCCCCACCACCCTCCCATGACCCACCCACCCCATTCTCACCCACCATCCTCCATCACCCACCAGCTCCCATCACCCACCAGCCTCCCATCACCCACCAGCCTCATCACCCACCAGCCTCCCATCACTGCAAACCCCTGTCACCCAAAGCCTCCCATCACCCACACAACATCCCACCATCCATGCTCCCATCACCCACAAGCCATCCATCACCCACAAGCTCCCATCATCCACAAGCTCCCATCACCACAAGTCATCCATCACCCACAAGCTTCCTCATCCACAAGCTCCCATCACCCACAAGCCTCCCATTCTCACAAGCCTCCCACATCACCCACAAGCATCCCATCATCCACAAGCCTCCCATCACCCAAGTCATCCATCTCCCCCACAAGCTTCCCATCATCCACAAGCTCCCATCACCCAAGTCTTCCATCACCCACAAGTTCCATAATCCACAAGCCTCCCCATCACCAAGCCTCCCATCACCCACAAGCCTCCCATCACCCATAAGCATCCCACCCTCTCCAGTATCGTCCACAAACTCCCATCACCCCCAAGCCCCATCACCCACCAGCCTCCCATCACCCACAAGCCTCCCATCTCCCACAAGCATCCCATCATCCACAAGCCTCCCATTACCCTACAAGCCTGCCAACACCCACAGCCTCCCATCACCCAACAGCCTCCCATCACCCACAAACCTCCCATCTCCCACTAGCCTCCCATCACCCACCAACCTCCCATCACGCACCAGCCCCATCACCCACCCTCCCATCACCCACATGAGCGTCCCATCGCCCACCAGCCTCCATCACGCACCAGCCTCCCATCACCCACCAGCCTTCCATCACCCAAGCATCAAATCACCCACCAGCCTCCCAGCACCCCACCAGCCTCCCATCACCAACAAGCATCCCATCATCCACAAGCCTCCCATTACCCACAAGCCTCCCATCACCCACAAGCCTCCCATCACCTACAAGCCTGCCAACACCCAAAAGAGTTTCATCACCCACCAGCCACCCATCACCCAAAACCTCCTATCTCCCGCTAGCCTCCCATCACCCACCAGCCTCCATTACGCCACCAGCCTCCCATCACCCACCCTCCATCACCCACCATCCTCCCATCACCCAACAGCCTCCCATCACCCACCAGCCTCCCATCACCCACCAGCCTCCCATCACCCACCAGCCTCCCATCACCCACCAGCCTCCCATCACCCAGCCTCCCATCACCACCAGCCCCATCACCCAATAGTCTCCCATCACCCACAACTCGTCACCCAAGCCTCCCATCACCCACAAGCATCCCATCACCCACAAGCCTCCCATCACCCACAACCATCCCATCATCCACAAGCCTCCCATCACCCACAAGTCTTCCATCACCCACAAGCTCCCATCATACAAGCCTCCCATCACCAACAAGCCTCCCATCACCACAAGCATCCCATCACCCACAAACCTCCCATCCCCACAGCCTCCCATCACCCACAAGACTCCCATCACCCACAAGCATCCCATCCCACGCCTCCCATCACCCACCAGCCTCCCATCACCAACATGCCTCCCATCACCCACCATCTCCCATCAACCACAAGCTCCCATCACCAATGCCTCCCATCACCCACCAGTCTCCCATCACCCACAATTCCATCACCCACCAGCCTCCCCATCAACACAAGCCTCCCATCACCCACCAGCCTCCCATCACCCACAAGCCTCCCATCATCCACAAGCCTACCATCACCCACCAGCCTCCCATCATCCACAAACTTCTCGTCACCCACGAGCCTCCCATCACCCACAAACCTCCCATCACCCACAAGCCTCCCATCACCCCACAAGCCTCCCTTCACCTACAGGCCTCCCATCATCCACAAGCCTCCCATCACATACAAGCCTCCCATCACCCACCACAGCCTCCCATCACCCACCAGCCTCCCATCACCCACCAGCCTCCTCATCACCCACCAGCCTCCTCCCTCCCACCAGCCTCCCATCACCCATAAACCCTGTCATTACCAGCCTGCCGCCACCCACTAGCCTGTCACCCACAAGCCTCCCATCACCCACCAGCCTCAGATCACCCACCAGCCTCCCATCACCCAAAGCCTGCCATCACCCACCACCCTCCCCATCACCCCACAAGTCTCCCATCACCCACAAGCGTCCCATAACCTACCAGCCTCCTGTCACCCACAAACCTCCCATCTCCCACCAGCCTCCCATCACCCACCAGCCTCCCATCACGCACCAGCCTTTCACCCACCACCCTCCCATGACCCACCAACCTCCCATTACTCACCATCCTCCCATCACCCACCAGCCTCCCATCACCCCACCAGCCTCCCATCACCCACCAGCCTCCCATCACCCACCAGCCTCCCATCACCTGCAAACTTCTCGTCACCTAAAAGCCTCCCATCACCCACAAGCATCCTATCATCCACAAGCTCACCATCACCCACTAGTCATCCATCACCCACAAGCTTCACATCATCCACAAGCTCCCCATCACCCACAAGTCATCCATCACCCACAAGCTTCCCATCATCCACAAGCCTCCCATCACCCCCAAGCCTCCCATTACCACAAGCCCCATCACCACAAGCATCCCATCATCCACAAGCCTCCATCACCCACACAAGTCATCCATCACCCACAAGCTTCCCATCATCCACAAGCCTCCCATCACCCACAAGTCATCCCATCACCCACAAGCTTCCCATCATCCACCAGCCTCCCATCACCCACAAGCCTCCCATCACCCACAAGCCTCCCATCACCCACAAGCCTCCCATCACCCACCAAGTCTTCCATCACCCAAGCCTCCCATAATCCACAAGCCCCATCACCCACAAGCCTCCCATCACCCACAGCCTCCCATCACCCATAAGCATCCCACCCCCACAAGCCTAGTATCGTCCACAAACCTCCCATCACCCCAAGCCTCCTATCACCCACCAGCCTCCCATCACCCACCAGCCTCCCATCACCCACAAGCCTCCCATCTCCCACAAGCATCCCATCATCCACAAGCCTCCCATTACCCACAAGCCTGCCAACACCACAAGCCTCCCATCACCTAACAGCCTCCCATCTCCACAAACCTCCCATCTCCCACTAGCCTCCCATCACCCACCAACTCCATCACGCATCAGCCTCCCATCACCCACCCTCCCACCCATGAGCGTCCCACGCCCACCAGCCTCCCATCACGCACCAGCCTCCCATCACCCACCAGCCTTCCATCACCCACAAGCATCAAATCACCCACCAGCCTCCCCAGCACCACAGCCTCCCATCACCAACAAGCATCCCATCATCCACAGCCTCCCACACCCACAAGCCTCCCATCACCCACAAGCCTCCCATCACCCACCAGCCCCATCACCCACAAGCTCCCATCACCTCCAAGCCTCCCTCACCCAAAAGAGTTTCTCACCACGCCACCCATCACCCACCAGCCTCCCACACTCCACAAGCCTCCATCACCCACAAGCTCCCCATCACCCACAAGCCTCCTCACCCAAGCCTCCCATCACCCACAAGCCTCCCATCACCTACAAGCCTGCCAACACCCAAAAGGTTTCATCACCACAGCCACCCATCACCCAAACCCTCCCATCTCCTGCAGCCTCCCATCACACCAGCCTTCCATCACGCACCAGCCTCCCATCACCCACCACCCTTCCATCACCCACCATCTCCCATCACCCAACAGCCTCCCCATCACCTCCCAGCCTCCCGTCACCCACCAGCCTCCCATCACCCACCAGTCTCCCATCACCCACCAGCCTCATCACCCACCAGCCTCCCATCACCCACAATAGCCCCCATCACCCACAAATCCTCATCACCCACAAGCCTCCCATCACCCCACAAGCATCCCATCACCCACAAGCCTCCCATCACCCACACAACCATCCCATCATCCACAAGCCTCCCATCACAAGCCTCCATCACCCACAAGCCTCCCATCATCCACAAGCCTCCCATCACCCACAAGCTCCCATCACCCACCAGCCTCCCATCACCCACCAACCTCCCATCTCCCACCAGCCTCCCATCACACACCAGTCTTCATTACCACCAGCCTCTGTCACCCACAAGCCTCCATCACCCACAAGCCTCCCATCACCCACAAGCCTCCCATCACCCACAAGCCTCCCATCACCCACAAGCCTCCCATCACCCAAGCCTCCCATCACCCCACAAGCCTCCCATCACCCACCAAGCTCCCCATCACCCACACAAGCCTCCCATCACCCACAAGCCCCATCACCCATGCCTCCTCCCATCACCCACAAGCCTCCCATCACCCACAAAGCTCCCATCACCCACAAGCCTCCCATCACCCACAAGCCTCCCACACCACACAGCCTCCCATCACCCACCAGCCACCCATCACCCACAAGCCTCCCATCACCCACACAAGCCTCCCATCACCCACAAGCCACCCATCACCCACAAGCCTCCCATCACCCACAGCCTCCCATCACCCACAAGCCTCCCACCCATCAGCCACCCATCACCCACAAGCCTCCCATCACCCACAAGCCTCCCACACACCACAAGCCACCCATCTCCCCACCAGCCTCCCATCACACCAGTCTCTCATTACTCACCAGCCTGTCACCCACACACCCCATCACCCACAAGCCTCCCATCACCCACAAGCCTCCCATCACCCACAAGCCTCCCATCACCCACAAGCCCATCACCCACAAGCCTCCCATCACCCACAAGCCTCATCACCCACAAGCCTCCCATCAACCACAAGCCTCCCATCAACCACAAGCCTCCCATCACCCACAAGCCTCCCATCACCCACAAGCCTCCCATCACCCACAAGCCTCCCATCACCCACAAGCCTCCCATCACCCAAAGCCTCCCATCACCCACTAGCCTCCCATCACCCACAAGCCCCCATCACCCACAAGCCCCCATCACCCACAAGCCTCCCATCACCCACAAGCCTCCCATCACCCACAAGCCCCATCACCCACACAAACCTCCCATCACCCACAAGCCTCCCATCACCACAAGCCTCCCATCACCCACCAGCCCCCCATCACCCACAAGCCTCCCATCACCCCCACAAGCCTCCCACCCACAAGCCACCCCACCCACAAGCCACCCCACCCACAAGCCTCCCATCACCCACAAGCCTCCCATCACCCACAAGCCCCATCACCCCACAAGCCTCCATCACCCACAAGCCTCCCATCACCCAAGCCTCCCATCACCCACAAGCCTCCCATCACCCACTAGCCTCCCATCACCCACAAGCCTCCCATCACCACAAGCCTCCCATCACCCACAAGCCACCCATCACCCACAAGCCCCATCACCCACAAGCCTCCCACCCACACAAGCCTCCCATCACCCACAAGCCTCCCATCACCCCACAAGCCACCCATCACCCACAAGCCTCCACCCACAAGCCTCCCATCACCCACAAGCCTCCCATCACCCACACAAGCCACCCATCACCCACAAGCCTCCCATCACCCACAAGCCTCCCATCACCCACAAGCCTCCCATCACCCACAAGCCTCCCATCACCCACTAGCCTCCCATCACCCACAAGCCTCCCATCACCCACGCCTCCCATCACCCACACAGCCTCCCATCACCCACAAGCTCCCATCACCCACCAGCCTCCCATCACCCCACAAGCCTCCCATCACCCACAAGCCCCATCACCCACAAGCCTCCCATCACCCACAAGCCTCCCATCACCCACAAGCCTCCCATCACCCAGCCTCCCATCACCCACAGCCTCCCATCACCCACTAGCCTCCCACCCACAAGCCTCCCATCACCCACTAGCCTCCCATCACCCACAAGCCTCCCATCACCCACAAGCCTCCCATCACCCACAAGCCTCCCATCACCCACAAGCCTCCCATCACCCACTAGCCTCCCATCACCCACAAGCCTCCCATCACCCACTAGCCACCATACTCAGTCTACTCTGTGAAGACTTTGTTTTTGATTGGGTATTTCCTAGTATTTATCTGTCAATTGATCCACAGCAATTTGGTAATATGATGACCTCCTTTACATCACACTGCTTAGTTAGTTTCCTGGATTTTCTGCACAAATACCTGGAGAAACTTAAGAAATCACTGGCCGTTGCCCTTATTGACTTTAGAAAGTCTTTTGACCTTGTTGATCACTGAACTGTTATAAACAATGCCATTGCACTAGGGCTGCCCACCAACCTGGTCTCATGGCTCACTGATTTCCTGAGTGAGCGTCGTCAGGCAGTCAGGTACCAGAGTTCTGTCTCCAGGGGACCAAGATGGGACCACTGTGCTTCCTAATCCTGATTAACGACGATCTTTCTGACACTCCTCACAGATGGAAGTACGTGGATGACTGCACTGTGGGGGTAGGGTGTGTCATAGGAGGGAAGATCAGCTAAAACTAATGGCCCATCACTTTTTTGGTAGATTTTAGTGTATATAAACAGAAAAAAATTTCAGTTTCAATATTTTGCAACCTTTTGCTAGGTAAATTTTAGCGTGAAATTTATCGAAAATCTAACGTACAGCTGCATTAGTGCATTACAATTAAATAGTGAACATTGCTTTCTGACTTCATTCTTTAACAACCCAACTAACAATATTTTTTTCTGTTTCAGATTCTGATGCATTTATAAGTTGATAATATTTGCGATGGCTGCTTGTGTCAGGACGAGGAACCAAAAATCCAGCCATCTCAGTCACTATCTTGGGTCTGGGAGAGAGCTCCTGAAGTCGGAGTTGCCTACATTGAGAGATGCTTTGAGATACGGTGTTTTAATCAGGCAAATCAGTGAAAAGAACCAAAGAACTTACACAAACAAAGACATTGCCAGTGATATGACCAAAGCTGTCTTGGCACAGTACACTCTGGCTAACGCTCAGTTCAAGCCTCCAGTCATAACAAGTGAGAAGAAGATTAGTGAGAGACTGCTAGCCAGTTGGGAAAAGGCAAGAGATATCTCTCTTGGGAGAGGAAAACTTGCAGTTAAGGACAGCTTTGCCAAGCAACTGGACCAGTTATTTGACATAATTACTTGCAAGTGCCCAATTGTTCTCTGTCCTGAGTTTGGATGCGATCGTGACTGTAAATCCGAGGCCCACATCTCCTGTATTTGCAAGCGTGAACTGAAGATTCCTGTGATCGAACTGGCATTTATCAAAGCACAGAGAGAGAAGACTGGCAGTATAGGGGCTCTCATGATTTCTAGCCAAGATATTCCGGAGTCCAAGAGACAGGAGGCTGCCACAGAGAGACAGAAGAGGAGAAGAGTTGCCGAGGAAAAGAGACTTGAGAAGGCCCAGGGTGAGGTAAAAAAGGCCGATGATTGGAGTCAAGCTGATTCAGAGTTTAATGACTTCCCCATGGCTGATCCGAGTGCTGACCAGGAGAATGGTGACTTTGTCCCTAACCCAGAAAATAATGATCCCAAACCTTCCAGGCATAACATTCGAAATAGGAAAGATATCCCGAGCATAGCTCTGGCCAGCATGCGACACCACACTGGTCTCAGAGAAACTGCAGAGATAGCAACAGCTGCCTGGGTTGACGGTGGTTTGATAACACCTGATGATGTTCACCTGGTGATAGATCATAACAAAGTAAGGAGAGCTCAGGAGAAACTTGTCAGTAACCTAGAAGAGGAGTTTGATAAGGGGATAAGAGAAAATGGAATCAATTGTTTGTTCTTTGATGGGAGAAGGGATGACACTAAAGTGTTCATGAAAGTTGGAGATTCTGACAAGTTGTTCCCTGCCATGGTGAAGGAGGAACACTACTCCTGCTGCAGTGAACCAGGAGGGAAGTATTTGTGGCATTTCACTCCAGAGAAAGATGACATCAGGAAACCAGCTGAGATAGTGGCAGATAACATTGTGAACTGGCTCAGAGAGAGGAACGTAGACCAGACCCTGCAGGCCATTGGAGGGGACAGCACCAACACGAACACAGGGTGGCAAGGGGGGTCATACAGTGGATAGAGCGGAAGATTGGGAGGAAGCTGGTCTGGATTGTTTGTGACCTCCACACCAACGAGTTGCCACTCAGACATCTGATCCAGGAGCTGGATGGCAAGACTCTTTCAAACAACAGATG